TGGGATCGTCCGATCTAACCGCATCTACGTTTTTACACGTAGATCTTAACCGATCTGAGAGTGAAGTCTAAGTTCTAAACTTTTTACTTTTTATTAAATATTTCTTTTTTTTTTAAATTGTAATTTTTTTATTTTTACAAAAAAATGTCAAAACGTGTCCAAATACGTTGACCGCGTGTCGGATTCGGTCAAAATAACGTGTCCGTCTAGTCAACGTGTCCCAAAAAGTTGACCGCGTATCGGACGCGTGTCCGAACGTGTCCGTGTCGGACACGTGTCGGACACGCATCTTTTCCCAAAATTGACGAGTCCGTGCTTCAGAGCAAAGGAGCAAGAGAGATAAAGACGGTAACACTCCGTATATATCCGATAATGTTATCATACTATCGTATTAAGCTGCGCTTAATTAAAAATGCGGAATATCTTTTTCTTTTCAATTATGACGTCATTATCATTACCAACTTGCTTAATTAATCAATTAAATAAAATCATGCCTGTATGTAAATTGTAAAAGACATCTAACTGAAATACCTCATTAATTAAAATAACATAAATATGTCTCTAGTCACGGAGCTACAACACGTAGACCGGACCAACTAGCAGTTTATACAACTCAACTCAAAAGTACTAACAACATGGTGGCATGGACAACTCCCATGCTCACCCCAAATAAGGCAACAAAGCCCACAAAAGTCTCAACTCAACAGCAACATAATGATAAAGGCGGAAAACATAAACAACATCCAATACAACCATGCCAGCATATAACATATTACAGCAATAAACATCAACTAAGCTCTGGCCTCCTGCCGCCAGCAGTCCACGTACTACCTGAACCTGAAATAAGCATTCCCCAAACGTGGGGTGAGATCTCTAAACAAGAAATCTCAGTGAGGCAAGGGGTCCTCAAGGATCTTCCACCCCAAGCTCACTTACATGTGCAATATAAGTTCAAAAGCAGTTTATCATCATCAGTTCTAAAATAGTGCAATGCAGCAGATAATCATGTCATGTGTGTCAATTCTATTCTACTGGCCAGAGAAATGCAGGATTTATATACGCCAAATACCCATACATAGTGCAAGACGCCACTTGCATCCACCCCGGATCACCGTTTTGTATGACGCCACATACTCAGGCTTACTGTCAAGATGGAACAACACATGCATATTAAAAGCCATTACATATAAAGCTCAACAGCATTTCAAATATTCAAAGCATGTAACACAGCATGCATATAACCATACCCCCATGGGACATGGTGGAACCACAACATGGCTAAACCGATGACACGAAAGCTTACCTCTTAAGCAATCAATCCAAGTCAAGTTCACACAAGCTCAATGTCCAAACACAGCAGATCACAATCTGATTTAGGACCAGCAAGCATATCAACATTCATAGCTCAATAGCATAAATATAAAGACTACGTTTTCCTTTTACGTTTTACGTCTTAAGGCTTCACACAAAGCCATAAGCCCTTAATCACTTGATTCTGACTTAGTCCAATTATTACAGAAGTTCAACTTCATCAATCTAGGGTCCACAAACCCCCAAAAGCCTACTGTATGAACAGTACAGCTACTGTTCTTCGAAATCCCAGAATATTCAGATATATGTCGGGGGCATATCCGGATATCAATATCCGGATATCTCACTGGCAATATCCGGATATCCAGATCCCCATATCCGGATATCCATATTCGGATATCAATATCCAGATATTTATCGACCAAATATTCGGATATTTCGCGATAGAATGCAGTTTCTGCATTTCGCGAAGATATCCTTCCAAGGTTCCATTTTTACCGATTATATAAGCCTAAACATGCATTTCTAGGTGTGTTTAACCTTACCCACCCTCAAGTTGTCAACTTAGCTCATTACATGCATCAAGGTTCCATTTTTAAGCATTAAACTCATGATCAAAGGTTGGTACATACCCAAGCTTCAAACTCAGAACAAAAGGCTCTTAGAGCTCACTTGACACTCCCAAGGTTCAGACTTCCACTGCACACGAAAATGCTACCAAAGCTTGCCCATTTCCTCACAAAGGAAGCTTCTTGGAGCCTCCACACACAAGACCAAGGCCCCAACCTCACAACTCAGAAGACTCAGCACCTTAACCTCACAAGGAAGCTCACTCAACTCAGAAAAGAAGGCTTAACATTCACCCCAAGACTCAACCACACTCAACCAAGGTGTTTAGATGAAGAAATCATGAAGAAAGGTGATGTCTTTGGAGGTTTCTAAGTAAAAACGAAAATGACCAAGAGAAGGGAAGGTGGCAGCAACCAACTCACGCATACAAGGCTGGAGGATCAGCCTAGGGTTGTGTGCAACCCTCTATATATAACCACTTAAGCAATAATGACACAATATTAACTTTAATTGCTACGCTTAGCATTTTAATCCCAAACTCAGGATTCTTAACCTACTCAATTTTACAAGAATTATATATTTTTCTTATATTTTTCGAAGCACCTTTTCGGTATGCGCTTTTCATAGCCAGTACCAGTTTCGGGCACTAGTTCTCATTATTTTAACTTGAAACTCGTTTTACAAGTCCTATATATTATTCTAGGAATTATCATGCACTTATTATAATTTTCCGGGATACTTTTTCGTTACGCATTTATACCGACTAGCAGAACCGATATCTGCACTTTTCGTCAGAAAAACGACTTTCAACGTTATTACTCACTTACTATAATTATTAAAGCCTCATAATAATTATTAGGGTCAATTATAAAATTATCTCATTAAACTCATAATTATTGATTAATTTTCTTAATTAATGATGTAGGTTCTTACCATTTACATATGCGCTCTCGACCTAATATTAGGTAAAATCCCATACGAGTCATGCTAAGTAACCTAGTAATGAGTTCATTTTCTATGGTTCTGGAGTATATATTTCTTGCTAAAAAAAAAATTGCGAGATATGAAAAGAAATAAATATAAAGGCAAGAATAGTATAAAAATGTTATTTTTTATTATATTTAATAAAAAAGTACAGAGTATTCTGTGTTACTGGAGCAAAAATATTTTCCTTAATAATAATCTGTACAATTTCACTTGAAAATAGAAAAAAAAATGTCAAAAAGAAAGTATTTGATGGCATTTGTACAAGTCGTTGACTTTTCACTCGGCTAATTTTTTTGTTCTTCTCTTATGTTATGCATGTAGAGGTGACAAAGTGGACAGTTCGTCCCCTCATCAACCCGTAAAAAAGTAAGTCATTTCACCTTGATTTGTTTTTAAAAGTAGGTTAAAAAACTCGGTCCTTCTTGCTCCATTTGACGGGTTGGGCGAGTTGGCTCACCAGTCCAAACCTATTTTACACTGATCCTCCTCGTTTTGTCTATATTCTCCATCAACCTTCCAAAAAATGAATTCGCCCCACTTTTAAGATGGGTTAAAAAACTCAACCCACCCGGCTAAGCCGATCTCATTTTGCGGGCTGTACGTGTTCTCTTTCTTTGTTTTCATTTAATGCTTTCATGACAGTGCTAAGGAAATTGTAACAATTTTCAAAAATAGACGCTGATATCATCCAAACAACACACATGAAATTTCCGTATTTGTATTAAAAGATTTTTATGTTTGTCTGTAAATATGTGTTGACTTGTCGTGCTTATGATAGGGATATTTGTGCTTGTGTCAACCAACTAACATAACTCAATAATTTTAAGCTCGAATAATTATCTATTTGTATTCACTTTTATTTATTAATTTAAAGGTAAAAAAACATTTTATCATGTTGCATGAGAATTTAATTTTCATATTGTGACTTTTCAATTTGCGTGCAATTTTTTTTTTTTTTTTTTTAATAAATGTGAGACTTACCACTAGTTGAGTCGTCACAACATGAGAATTCAATTCTTATGCAACATGAGAAAACCAAACCCCTTTAAAAGTATACATGTAATTTTATATATTTTCATGTAATTTAAGGTTGGTGAATTATTTATATCGGTTCGTATACAAATAACTATACATGTTTATGTTTGAATTGACTACATTCGTACGAATCCGATAGGACACGGATAAATACCCTCTTTTTTATTATTAAAAAAAGAAGAAAAAACAACGTATTGGTAGGGTGAGGGGTAAGTACTATGGTTGGTTTTAATTCAATTGGACTCCATCAGTTTAAGTATCTAGCTGATTGAATTATGTACACGGTGAGGGGGTAACAGCCCTCTAACATTAAAAAATTTATTTGAAAAAAATATCTTTATGTTTTGAAAATATTTAAAATTTTTTTTACGAAAATATAACTTTAACCTCTTAATTTATTATTTCAGTTTTTTTCCCCCTTGGAATTAGCTGCAGTTAGCCTCTTAATTTTTTATTTCAGTTTTTTTTTTTTCTTTTCCATGCAGCAGGAATCTTGGATTAAGCGGTTATCGTTACATGTGTGTGTGTGTGTGTGAAAGATATATGTTACACTGTGTTGTGTTATGTTATGTTATTCTATCTTTGGCCAACGCAAAGAAAAAGAAAAAGAAACAGAAAAGTGGATATAAGTCAGTAAATAACGATAATTCTGCAGACAAATAACTAATTTCTTGGTCATGTAGTGAATGGAGGAGACTCAGTCATCAGTTTTCTTGGTCTAAATGATTTCATTCTAAGGCTACCCTAAATTATAGCCTATAAAATCCTTCATATGTCCTTTAACCAAAGAAGAAGAAGAAAAAAAAAAAACCATAGATGAAAATTATTCAAAGAAACAAAAGGCCAAAAAACAAATACAAAACCATTAACAAAAGACATCTTTTCTTTTGCATGAGTTAAAAAGTTTTGCAGTTTGTGTTTCATTCCAACAACACCTGAAAAAAACAAAGAAGGGGTTCAAAGAAAAATCTGCAAAAATAGGTACAGAAAAAGAGTTACACGTTGCAGGGGAGAGCAATGGCTTATCCTCTGCTGGATCATCACCTGATCGAGGCATTTCAATGGGGGAGACACCATTGTTCCCTGGTCCCTCTTCCATGGAGACAATGGAGCTCCACCATGCACCTGAAGGTCTAATAGAGACTAATGTTGGAGACTACCCTGGAATTACAAACTTTGAAGATGTGAAAGCTGTATTTTTTGTGGAATCCACAAAGCTTTGGTCAATTGCAAGCCCTATTGCTTTCAACATACTATGCAATTATGCTATTAATTCCTTTACAAATATCTTTGTTGGCCATCTTGGAGATTTAGAACTCTCAGCAGTTGCAATCTCTCTATCTGTCATCTCAAATTTCTCTTTTGGCTTCTTGGTTAGTGTCTATAAACTTTTGGGGTACATATCCATGCTTTATTTTATGGATTTCTTTTTTCTCGTGTTACTCCAAAAAGAAGTTATCTTATGTCATCCATTATAACTATGTATTATCGGGAGTACATAGTTATAATATTAAAATTATTTTTTTTTCCTCTCTCCACGTCAGCCAACAACATCTGAAGAGAGAGAAAAAAAAAACCTTTAATATTATAACAGGAAATACATACTTATAATAAGTGACATAAGATATCTTTTTTTCAAGGATTTTCCTTATTTTATTTTATTTTCTCTATTTATACAACAATATAGACTATTCATGCATGGCTCTTTTCCATGATTTCCTAAAGTGGCATGCTATGTTTACCTTTTTGACAGCCAACTTACACCTCCACATATGAATATGTGACTTCCACTTGTTACTAGAAATTCTAGTTGAACTATAAAAAGCCATCCCAATTTTCCAAAATTTTCACTTTATCCAAATAGAAAATCAACCAATTCCCCAAGTTTTGTTTAACATCATATAAGCTGAACTTGTTATCAAATATTTGTATTGGATAGTCTAAACTTTTCTTCCTTTATTTTAGAATTGAATTCAGTGTTTTGACTTAAGTTGTCTAAATTTTAACATTTCTGACAGTTTTTGCTGAAGTTTAAAAAAATAAGGCTTTAAATTTTTACATGAAATTTGCAGCTTGGTATGGCAAGTGCACTAGAGACATTATGTGGACAAGCATTTGGTGCTGGACAAGTAGACATGCTTGGGGTTTACATGCAACGCTCTTGGATAATCTTATTGGGTGCATGTGTTTGTCTCATGCCATTTTACATTTATTCAGAGCCAATTCTAATACTTCTTGGACAAGAACCTGATATTGCAAAGCTTGCTGGGATATTCACTATCCAAAGTATCCCTCAGATGTTTTCTTTAGCCATCAATTTTCCTACCCAAAAGTTCTTACAAGCACAGAGCAGAGTGGGAATTCTGGCATGGCTGGGTTTCATAGCCCTTATCATACATGTTATGATTCTAGTTCTTTTTATTAGAGTGTTAGGTTGGGGTACAACTGGTGCTGCTGCAGCCTATTCAATATCAGCTTGGGGGATTGCTTTGTCTCAAGTGGTTTATGTTGTTGTTTGGTGTAAGGAAGGTTGGAGAGGTTTGTCATGGTTAGCCTTCAAGGATCTTTGGGCCTTTGTGAAATTGTCTTTTGCTTCAGCAGTTATGCTTTGCCTAGAGGTTTGGTATTTCATGACCTTGATTGTTCTCACTGGACACCTTGACAATCCAGTTATTGCTGTTGGTTCACTTTCTATTTGGTAAGCTCATGCCTAAACAATACACCTGCTGCAAGTTGAATTAATGTTTTCTTCTGCCTGAGTGGCAGAGATGTCTAACCGTAAGTTAGTTGATTGATGTAGGATCTGATGCTCTCTCTAGATACCTATGAATTAGTATCTTGGGAGTAGCGAATCACAACACGCGATATAACGGTCTTAGCCAAAGAGGGGGTGGTGTGTGTGCTCTGTGATTGCATAAATAGGTTAAAGAGAGATCACTCATACCTGCGGTCTTTAGCCTTTATTTATAAAGTTTACCTTAGAGCTTAAGTCGTCTGGGCCTTCCAAGGATATAGGTCTTACTCAGGTCCATAACATGTTTCATCACAAGTTTATCCTTATCCTAGTTATTTGTTATTAGACGAGTTTATCTTTATCCTAGTTGTTTAAAATTAGTTCTATTATCTTATTAGTAATTATCTTAAGAGTGTTATTAGTTTCTAATTCAAATTAGGATTTCGTTATCTTTATTAATCTGTATAGATCCACAGAAGCTGCATGATTTGGAACAATCTTGATTATGTTACTTGTCTCTAATGTTTTTCTCTCAAGTACTCTTAAATTACTGATTTGATATTAATTCTGTTTTTCCTCTTTCAGCATGAATGTGAATGGGTGGGAAGGCATGTTATTTATAGGAATCAATGCAGCTATTAGGTAAATTCTTCATTTTTGGCTATTTTTTTTCCCCTCATCTCAGTTTAAGGGTTTTTGACAACTTATAAATGAGTTATGTTTTCTTCATTTCTCAGTGTAAGGGTTTCAAATGAGCTTGGATCAGGACACCCAAGAGCAGCAAAATATTGTGTCATTGTCACAGTTGTTGAGTCCCTCATCATAGGGATAATTTCTGCAGGCATTATTTTAATTGCAAAAGATGATTTTGCTGTCATTTTCACTGACAGTAAAGAGATGCAAAAGGCAGTTTCTAAATTAGCATCACTTCTTGGTATAACCATGATTCTAAATAGTGTTCAGCCAGTTATATCAGGTTAGAGGATTCCCAATAACAATGATCATACAAATTCTTATGCAACAAAGAAATCTTCAAATGCTTGTGTATTCTTTGCAGGTGTTGCTGTAGGAGGAGGTTGGCAGGGTTTGGTAGCTTACATCAATCTATTTTGTTATTACATCATAGGACTCCCTTTTGGCTTTCTTCTTGGTTACAAGTGGGGTTACAGAGTGCAGGTAAAGAACACAATCATAACTCCCTAATGTCAAAACTAGCCAATTTCATTATTAATTTGATGATGCAAAAAATAGCATTTCTGTTTTTCTTTCTCCCTTAAAGTGAGCACCATTTGCCAAGTTGATTGACCATGTTCACAAAAGTTTGTACCATTTTTTTTTCTCTCTAGAGTGAGTTGGAGATTAAAGATGGTGAAAATTTAACGGGTTGATAATTCTGATATTATAGGAGAAAATATTATTATTTTTATATAAATAAAAATGGGGCTTTATTAATTTCATGCAATAGGAGAGAACTCTCTCATGCAATAGAGATAATCATGTGTGAGACCCACCTATTATAGAAAAATAAAAAAGGAATAAAAAAGTAACACGGAAATCGATGTATGTGTAGGAGAGAAAAATTCTCTCCTACAACATAAGAGTATATTTTCTCATAAAAATGTGTGGGATTCATATGGGATCATGTGAAGAGAAAAGAAAAAAAAAAAATTATGGGTCTCATATATTTTAATATGTGTGTAGGAGATAGAATTATCTTCTGCAATATAAGAAACATTGATCTCTCTACAAGAAAAAATATTTTTTCTATATAGAAAATTAGGGTTTAATTTTATTTTGTTCAAATACATTAAAGTGAGTAGATCTCACTTTTTCTCTTTTTTTTTTTTTTTTCTCATATGGCTCCATTCACTCTTACACACGAGATAAAATTATCTCGTGTTTGTAGAAAAATATTAATCCCATAAAATTATCTCTTCCAATACTAAAATAGCATCCTTTTAGAGTTTGGGGAAAAATATAAATAATAGGAATTTTATTTCTCTCCTGTAATAAGAATTTTCATAGAATACCTGTATTTTTTTAAACCCCAAAATAATATTATTTTAAAGTTGCATTATATAACTTTATAGCTTTATTTTTAGGAAAAAATGTTTATAGTTTTAAAAGACGCAACCTTATGTCCTTTTAGTGTTTAATATTATGTCTTATCGACAAGACATAGTTATAATTTGAAAAATTATTCTTTTTTTTCTCGTCTCAGTTGACGTGAAGAGAAAAAAAGAATAACTTTTTATATTATAACTATATGTTACTGATAAGACATAATATTAAAAATTATAAAACATAATTTATATTGCTTAAAAAAAAATAAAATAAAAAAATTAACCTTTATTTTTATCCTTGTACCATACAAACCCTTACTAATGGAAAGTGTTGTTTCAGGGTATTTGGACCGGCATGATCTTCGGGACAGTGTTGCAGACAGCCATCTTATTATACATTATCTATAAAACCAACTGGAACAAAGAGGTGAGAATGCGTACTTTTTTGGGTAATCATGAAATATTCATTCTTCATCAATAAAAAATAATAATAATAATATTGAAATCGATGACATTGAATGCTTACAGTTATTGCAAGAAAAAACAAAAGCCTATAATCAAAGAAGCACAAGCAAATGCTATTATATTTCAGACCTAATCAATCTCAAATTTTCAGGTGGAACAAGCTTCAGAACGAATGCGGAAATGGACTGGAGAAGAATTGGAAATTAGCACAAATAGAAATTAAGAAAATTCGAACCCTTTTCATAATTTGTGTATCCTTATTATGTGACAAAGATATGCATGTCTTTGCCACATTGGTTAGATTATGTAAATAACCTCTCACAAATATATTTATGTAAAAATATATCAAGGGATGAATATAAAAAACTAATCAAAAAATAAAAGTATGTTTTTTGCTGAAAATAATTTATAAATTACTCTAGTCTTAATTTTTCAAAATTATTTGTCAGGAATGATTTTGATTTTTTAAGATTGAAACCAATACACAAACTATGAACAAGCAAGAGAGATGAAAAAGAAACATAAGAATTATACTAAGTAGAGACTCGGTCCCTTGTATTCTTTCCAGCATCAATTGCAGCATTTTTTTTATGGAGGTCTCTAACCCTTTTGTTAACAATAATATTAAGGAAAAATATAGTATAAAATAATAAAAATGTATTTATCTAAATATGTTTAAATGAAGAAGAAGTTAGAAAGTTAAATATTAAAAGGTTGATATAGATTAAAATATATTTCGAAAAATTAATAATAAATGCTAGAATTAGATATCTGTGCATCCGTAATTCAAAATTTGAAATACATGAAGATGAAGCTAATTAATTAATTATTTGAAATAGTTCGGAATCCATTAATATTTTTTAAATAATGTTAAATTTTAGTTTGAAATTTACATATGAAATTTTTCAATTTGATAATTTTTTTTTTCTAAATTTTGAGCATTAACTAATACTTTTTATGAAAAGAATTCAATAATATTTTATTATTGTTATGAAACAATAGATAATTGAAAATATCATAGAGATAAGAGAAAAGGTTTTCTGTTTGTTATGTTACATGATGTAACATAACAAACCTACCCACACAAATGAGAAGAGAGAGAAGATAGAAGAAAGGAGAGAGAAAAATCTAGGGATGAGATCCACGTAAAATTGTGTGTGTAGAAAAGTTATGTTACATTAGGATTATGCAAAAAAACTGGTTCACTTCCCCTGCCCTTGACCCGACCTTGACCTGCCCCATAAATACCTATATTTTTTGAACTGGTTTAAATACTGACTCACTTTTATTTGGGTCAGTTTTAGACCTGACTTGTTTTAATATTGACCCATTGATCCAAAATTTGACCCATACTCATTATGTGAAAAAAAAAGAAAATCACAATTACCTTAAAAGAAAAGTTTTAACGTAAAGCAATTACGTCAAAATTTTTTACGAAAAATATTTCCATAAAAAAATTTTAAAAACTTTTTTGACGAAAAATATTTTCATCAAAATTTGGGACTAAAAACATTTCTGTAAAAAAATTTGACGGAATATTTTTTTTGTCAAATTTTTTTACGGAATCTAAATTTCGTCAAAATATTTCACAAAAAAAATATATTCACCAAAAATTTCGACGAAACACATTTTCATCGAAAAATTTTTACGAAAAAAAAATTCATCAAAATTCCTTACAGATTTTGAATTTCGGCAAAATTTTTCGACGAAAGCATTTTTATTAAACTTTTTGACAAAAAAAAAATTTCGTCGAAATTTTTAGCAAAACACATTTCTATCGAAATTTTTTGACTAAATAATTTGTCAAGTTTTTTGATTAAAAATATTTCCATCAAAATTTTCAACGAAACACATTTTTGTAAAATAATTTCGTAAAATTTTTTGACAAAAAATATTTCGATAAAAATTTTGACGGAAAAAATATTCTGTCAAAATTCTTTAAGGAATCTAAATTTCGTCGAAAGTTTCGAATGAAACATTTCTCTCAAAATAATTTCCATCGAAAATTTGGACGAAACACATTTCCATCAAAAAAATTTGACGGAAAAAAATTTCATCAAAATTCTTTACAGATTTCAAATTCCGGCGAAAGTTTTTGACGGAAAAACTTTCGTTAAACTTTTTGACAAAAAAAAAATTTCGTCGAAATTTTTAGCGAAACACATTTCCATCGAAAATTTTCAACTAAATATTTTTGTCAAGTTTTTTGATCAAAAATATTTCCATCAAAAATTTCTACGGAATACATTTCTGTAAAATAAAATTTCGATAAAAAATTTTGACGGAAAAAATATTCTGTCAAAATTCTTGAGAGAATCTAAATTTCATCGAAAGTTTCGAATGAAACATTTTTTTCGAAACAAATTCCGTTGAAATTTTCGTCAGAACACATTCCCATCGAAATTTTGAACAAAAAACATTTTTTTCAAAATTTTTTATAGAATTTTTTTTCGTTTAAAACATTTTATGGAAGAAATCATTTTCGTCAAAACTTTTGACGGAAACTAAATTTCGATAGAAAAATTTTTTTGTTAAAATTTTCATTAGAGAAAAAATTTCGTTGCTTTTCGACAAAAAGTGTTCCGACGAAAAAATAATATTGTGACGAAATTCTCGTCATTTGGAATGTAGAAATTTCGACAAAATTTTGTGAGGAAACCAAGTCAAAACCGGGTCAGGTCAGATATGACCCACTTCAGAAACCAAGTCAGGTCAGATCCGATCCAGTTCTGAACTAGTTCAACAAAATACAAACCAAGTCAGACCTGACGTGGATCAAATTAAAGTGGGTCGGGTCAAAATACCTGACCTATAAAAACCAAGTTGGGTCGAGTCGGACAAAAACCTGACCCGACCTGACCCATGCACAACCCTATGTTACATCATGTAACATAACAAACATAAAACCCTAAGAGAAATCTTAAATGTCATAAAGAAATAGGTAATCAAAAGAGTAGAATTAACTTTTTATCTGTCGAGATGTCTGCGTACAAGATCTCTCTACATAGCATTATTCATAGGTTCTCAATCAGGTACCATAAGTTAAATCATGAAATTGCACTGATGGAGAGTTATGGATATCTACAATAATATTATTTACACTGCTATGTAGAGAGTCAATGAATAGTGCTATATAGAGAGTTTATGAACTGATGGTAACTTTTATAACTTATATAAAAGTTACACATTATTTTCATGGGAGTTATGGTAATCCACGATAATATTATGTCACTACTAGAAAAGTTCAAATTTGTGAGAGAAATTTTTGACGAAAAATTTTTCGTCAAAATTAAAGACGAAAATTTTGACGAAAAACATACTCCGTCGAAGTTTTCAACGAAAATAATCTTCCGTCCAAAATTTTCGACGAAATTCAAATTCCGTCGAAGATTTTCTTCGACGGAAAACAAGTTCCGTCAAAAACTATTAAAAATAAATAAATCAAAAATTAATTATATTCATGGTTTTTCGACGGAAATAAGATTTCGTCAAAGATTTTCGATGAAAAATGAATTCCGTCGAAAACCCTTATAATAAAATAAATAAAAAAGAAATTATATTTATGAACTTTTCGACGAAAATCAGATTCCGTCAAAGATTTTCGACGGAAAACGAATTCCGTCGTAAACTCTTATAAAAAATAAATCAAAAAAGAAATTATATTTATGAACTTTTCGACGAAAATCAGATTCCGTCGAAAAATTTTGACAGAAAATGAATTCCGTCGAAAACCCTTTTAAAAAAATTAATCAAAAACGAAATTATACTTAAGAATTTTTCGTCGGAAATTAGATTTCGTCGAAGACTTTCGACGAAAAATGAATTCCGTCGAAAACCCTTATAAAAAATAAATCAAAAAAGAAATTATACTTATGAATTGTTCGACGAAAATCAGATTTCGTCGAAGATTTTCGACGAAAAATGAATTCCGTCGAAAACCCTTATAAAAAATTAAATCAAAAAAGAAATTAATTTATGAACTTTTCGACGGAAATCAGATTATGTCGAAGATTTTTGACAGAAAACGAATTCTGTCGAAAACCCTTATAAAAAATTAAATCAAAGAGGAAATTATATTTATCAATTTTTCGACGGAAATCAGATTCCGTCGAAGATTTCTGACGGAAAACGAATTCCATCGAAAATTCTTATATAAAATTTAATCAAAATAGAAATTATATTTATGAATTTTTCGACGAAAATCAGATTCCGTCGAAGATTATTGACGGAAAAAGAATTTCGTCGAAAATCCTTATAAAAAATAAATCAAAAAAGATAACTTGGGAGTGAAATTAAGGTATTTTTATAAATATAATGTATTTCAGGGTTATAATAGTCTTTTTCATTATAATTTTTTAATTTTTCAACCCAAAACAACGTCATTTTGGGAGCGAATGTAAATAACTTATCTACATTCACTGTAGAAAAATTAAAGCCTGAAATAAAATGGTTTTTCATTCATCTGTGATTTTTAAATTCTATATCCCATATAATTATTTCTCTTTTAGCATTTCATTTTCGTAGTGTGTAGTTTTTTAATTCTGCAAATAAGTTTAAGGATGTAGATATGGTGGTGAAAATATGTTTGCTTTTTTACAAAAATAATATTAGCATTGAACATATTATTTCAACTACAGACAGAACTAGTCTTGGCCATTGCTAGAATATTCTGTTAGGTTGGAGATTTCATCTTTGGTGCTACTTCGCGTTTTTGTGCATTTGCAATTGGAATTTCTATGCTGCATATGTTGTTGCCACAAGAGTTTTGATTTTTGCAGATAAAAAGCGAAAAGGAAATATATATATTAATTTTAGTATAAAATATTGCATATTCCCATGCATTTGCGGTGTGCTTGAAAGACTATGGTATGTGTCTAAAAAGATGTCTTTACCCTTTAACCCAGGAAACCTGTAGAAAATTTCTTAAAGGCAGTGGATGAAGTAACTTTGAAGGATATTACTTCAATTTGTCAAAAGCTCATTTCATCCCCTCTCACAATGGCATCATATGCAGATGGTATTTAATGTTTTTGAAAACAAAAAAATTGTGATTTTTTTTTTTATCTTCTTGGGTAGTAATATCTTGAGTGGAAAGAGAATGGGAAGGCAAGATTACTCAAAATAATTTTATCATCCCCTCTCACAATGGCATCATATCTTGAGTGATTTTTTTATCTTCTTGGCATCATCTTGCCTTTATATGTTTTTGCAGATGGATGGAAA